TCGGCATGAAAGATTCGGTCACGACCAAGTATAATTTTCTTAGAGTGAATGAAAATCATTTCTAAAGGTTGGATGAACTTTTACTTTTTAGTGATCCGCCTGACTGGCGAGTAAGCAAGAGTCTCGTCTAGCAACTCCAATCGTCGCGGATTCACATTTCAAGTGCGGTAGAGATTTTAATAAAGCCGAAAGCCTTAGATGCTAGTGCTTTAAGACTTTAGAGGTAGAATTTATTCTCTGGCTTAATTTATAATAATAATTTATAATAATAATAAATACTTTTTAGTGGAGTATTTGCTTGAGTTTCTTTTATCGGGTCAACTTCGCTCACTTCACCATGGATCTCTCGTATCACATGCTCTGGCAACAAATTGTGATCTTTATATATCCTGGCTTAGTACAAAATTTTTACTCCCTCGTCGGCGACACTTAGAAGAACAGAAAGTGCAATGTGAGCGCTGTGTGTCAAAGTGTTATTAATGATCTGAATCTATTATTAATTTTCATGCTATTTTTACATAACAACCATCATTTCTTAAAATTGAAAGCGTGGATATGAAGACGACAACGATTTTCATTGAAAAATCATTCGCGACGACGATACCTCGTTAAGAGGCAAATTATTCGCAACTTGGCCAAGCCAGCAATCTGAACCCATATAAACAAAAATTTCTTAAGAGTTAACTAAAATAAAAGGCTTCCTGATGCAAGGAAATGGTGGGTCATCACCATTTATTTAAGAATACGTGTGTATTGATTACTGATGAGAAAGGGGTACTCCTTGAAATAAATTGGAAAGGTCTTTGAAAATCTATAAACAAAGAGACTTTGGACTTTGGAGAAAACAAAAATCATAACTCGCAGCACTGGCAGTAGGGATACCGAGATATATGCAGCAGCCGAAAAGGACTGCGATAGGGTATCCATCTTCTATTCTACCAATCGATTTGGAACCATCTCATCAATCAATTTAAGAGTGTACATCACTCTCTCTCTCCTTCGGATGTCCATTTTTATTATGTACAGCATATAAAGTCGAAATTCTTGTTCTGCTTCAAAGACGATTGAACTGAACTTGCGAAGCTTGCAACCCGTCCTCATATAATGCATTCTTTCACGAGATTCGTTAATGAAAAAGATTTGTCAACTTTGATATCTTCTTGGCAAAAATCGCTGACTAAAAGAATTTTCTTATACTAAATGAACGGGGATATTATATGCGTCAAGTATTTGATTTGATCTAGACAAACAGCTTTGGCAGAGTTAGATATGCACTTGGCTACTTATTACTGTTCGCGGCTATAACAAAGAGTTTAAAAAGCTGCTTTTCGACTATTCCTTCCCCGTAATGTAGAGTGAACATCAAACATTTTTCATGCTCCTGGAAACCTTTGCTCACAACTAGCAAAAATCACAAAATTGCAAAACGATCTTTTAATGCATTTCTTCGGATGTGTTAAGTCATAAAATATATTATTTTTGGTAACGTTTTACAAGATTTACGTACAAATGTGTCTGCGAACGTAAGTATATGGCGCGTTCAGAGCGAGTGACTCCGAGTAGAAAATTCGTGCTTCTACGGTCAAGAAGCAATTGAACTTTTCTCACGCACTGCTGATCTGCTAAATATGACTGCATCAATCTGAATCTGTGCTAATTAGAAGGCGACAGGCTTTGAAAACCAAGTCGAAAATAACTTCCACGTTTCCTTTTGCTGGAGACGGACAGACATATGCGACTGTTCATCGTCCTTAAGACTAAACGTTTTGCATGAAATTTCCAAAAACCAATTTCCAACGTGACACTTATACCGTACAAGCAGTAACGTCCAAGCCACATATATGCAAAATTTCGCAAAAATTTGGTATCATAAAGAACGTTTTATAAAGCAGCCAATTTGAATGGACATTGGTTATTATTATAATTTATATTACAGATCAGGTATACCTATTTTAGTTCGAAAATCTTCTAAAAAAGAAGAAAGCTATCCATTGTGTAATGTAATGTGTGATACACATTTTCTTCGTTTATACTCATTTTAATAAATATTTGTATGAATGCTTTCTGCGAATTACTTAATAGGCGAGCATGGAAAGTTTCGACTAATGTTCAATTTGCAAATTGAAATTAAATATGAAATTAAATTCGCGCCAAGTGTGCAACAATTTGGCAAAGAGTCTTCTCAGACGTCAGTTTCATATCTGCAATCGTCGAACAACAATTAATTTGAAAGCGCAGAGCCAATTAAATCGTAATAAGTATTGCTCTTCACCTAGTTCCTAATAAAATGAAATTACATTGCTATTACCATTTTAACTGTAACTTCAATTTCAAAACTACACACATTTTCTTTTTCTAATGCAATCAATCGAAAACAAAATATTCGAATAAGAATGATAATGATTAAAGAAATGTATTCAAAAATTTAGAATTAGGGCCCTGATAAGCACTTAACCTTAGCAATCTGGTTTTTCTTTTCTTTTTTATTATTTTTTATTATTATTTTTTAAGAAGCAAAAAAAAACAAACATGCAGTTTAAGGCGAAGCATCAATTCGTAAAGCATAGATATTGAAGATCTCAATTCTATTTACATTGCACAAGAATTAGGCAAAGCGTGTATAAGTTTTCGTAAATCACGGGGAATTTCTTGGAAAAATACATTCCTTTACATCTTCTGCATGATTTGATAAAACGTTACTATTTCTTGTAGAACATCGCTTCGAGTGCCTCCCAACAAGTATGCTTGTTTAATAAGAGTAGGGTGATTATCACGAATCCATATCCATGTCTCTTTGGCACTCTGCTTACATCATTTGATGTTATGTTTTGATGATTATTCATAAATATTTGAATAGGTCATCAAACTCCTCCTCCTCCTCCCTAGTATTGCTTATGAATGCCAATGGTTTATGCATACGCCTATTGCAATAATCTGCAGAAAACTTGTATATAGTATATTTTTCAACTACTATGAAGATAAGGAAAAGAAAGAAAATGTAATGTTACGTGCATGCTGCTAAGATCAAAGAGAGAAGAATTATATGAAGGAAAAAACAAAAAAAGGAAAAATATATTATAATATATTATATATAATATATTATTACACAGTTACACATGTATATAGGAGTAAGTAATTGATATCTAAGTTTAATCACAGGTTCCCCATATCAGTTCAATATAAACATTTCTGGTTTTCTTATGGATAGTTTTAGTATATACTAAAATGGCAGAGTTAATATGCAAAAATATAAGCACGCCGATACTATCGAAAATTAAGAATAATAGATACACTTGCTCGATATGAATCATTATATAATTGAACTCAACCACATGCATCGCTTATAATATATATGCGGCATTGGTAATGCTTAAACAGGTCAGAGTTTCGAATACCTCTGCTGGGTTTCATAGTAGATGTGTCAATCAATAGCTTCTGTATATGTACTGATAAAATTCAAATTTAATTAAAAAATACTTGGTGTAAAGCAAATATTCATTGTCGTCATCTACGGTCTTTTCTCTGTTGTTGGATAACTTGTGAACGCCATCGCGGCAGAAACTTTGTGATTTCGGAGGGAGTTAATTAACGGCCTACCTTCCTACGTCCGCTTTGCAGAATCGCTGATCTTTTACCAATATATATATACTGATCTTCATTTGCTTTAGAAATGAATGTCGTTTTCTTAATTAATTATTAAATAATCTAAATTAATAAAACACATTCAAAAAAACTTATAGTTTTTTTATCAATATATATATATATATATATATATATATGTATGTATATGTCGATATCCTATATATATATATATATATATATATATATACATAATATATACATATACATAACATATACATTTTTGGTTTTTAATAAAGACACAACCGGGCCAATTGCTCATACGCAAGCATTATTAATTCGAAAGTGACGACTTAAACTGTTGAACTTAGCTCTTTTGTATATAAAATTTTTATCAGTCGTTTTTTTCTGCTTTGCATAAATTTTTTCAAAAAAATGTAGTTTTTTCAAAAATATATTTTAACAAAAATTGGGTCGACGCATACATTTCTGAAAGCTTATAACTAATGTTATTTATTTTTTTTTTGTTTGCTTTACTAACAAGAGGGGGGCATAGATAACACTTTTTAAAGATTTTTATATGAATTGGCATCATATCGTTATGATGGATGATCAACAGTAAGTGATGATCAACAGTTGTATTTTATAGTGAAAGATAAATACGCACAGAATGTTTTGATATTCATACGACCCGGAGACAGCTTAATGTCACTGAACTTGTTTTGCATGAATTATTCAAGGTGCTTAGTATTTCCTGTCAGCTTGATGTACGCACATATACACTCTTTAGACACATTTGTATCATGTAAGCACATATATACATAATATATATATACATGATATATTGCAATTATAAATATTACATTACTCTTGATCATGATTGATTGCATTGGTTGATTAATCATTTCCAAAAGTAATATAGTGCTATAGCGCTATATAGGCTAGGAATCGTAATATATTAGATAATTAGACGAGCCATTTAGTGGCTTTTGACGTAAATTTACTTGATAATGTTGTTAATTTTAACAGCTATGAATAATAACAAGCTAAAAAAAGACTTTCAAATTATTTCAAATCGAATGCAAAAAATTTACATTACATTTTCTAAAGATAGAAATACAGTCACAACTGAATGATAGAACCTTCAATACTTATTAGGTAGTCCGGAAATTCTTTTCGGTTTTTGCCGACACCTCGTTCAATACTTATTAGGTAGTCCGGAAATTCTTTTCGGTTTTTGCCGACACCTCGTTAAAATAGCTCTCTTCAAGTAACTAAACAGTTAATTAGGATTAGCGGTCATGCAGACCAGGCTTATATTTATTTTTTCAAAAACTTTCGCAGTGATCGGTCGTGTTATAGTAGTGAGACCTAGCTTTGGAAAATGGAAAATAAAAGTGAGCATATAAGACATACTTTACCTTTTTATTGCAAATAAGCTGCAGACGCACTTAGAAAAATATGTGCTATATACGGAACCAAAACTGTAGCAGAACGCATTTGCTAAAGTTGATTTTTTGAAATTTCGTTCTAGAAATATTTGAGTGAACGTTTTATCGCCATCTCATAGATCAAATACTACTGTTTGTAAAAAAGATTGATTTTAGAATTCCACATGATTTAAAAAATATTCATTTCACACAACGCATTGCAAACGAAACCAAGACGATCCATATATGAAGATAATTGTAATTGATAATGAAATATGGATTCTATATATACAAAAACGAGCAACGCAGTAAATCATCGTCAAAACACGCTAAGCCATCTCGACCAACACCACATACCGGATATCGACGAAAGGCAGATCTTGCTGAAAGCATCGTGCGATTATAAAGAAATTGTCCATTATCAGCTTCTGTCGCGATAGTCGGAAATTATTGTCTCGCACTCATTATAAAAATCGAAAAGAACACTCTTTGTGTTATACGAAAGCAAACGCAGCCGAGACGCTAATAATATTTATGATATGAAATTTCGATACATATGTTAGTCACAGGGTGTCAGTTTGGTCTCACTTTTTGATCGCTGTATTTGCGATTCATCAAATCAAAGTTTTTTTCCTCTTCTTTTTAATCTAACTAAATGGTAAAAGATAATAAGGTAATATCGATTTGTGTTTTATTCAATATATTGGTTCATGCCCTCTCTACTTAAATATGATTTCGTATAAATGATCAAGCACTTTATGTAATTTTTACAACTTTCCCGCATTAATTTACTCTTACACGAACGCGAACAATCTTGATGAGTAAGGGCATTGAGAGTCTGTGTTTTTTGTCGAGTAAATCAATGATGCAACATAACCGTAGAGTAAAAGTTTACATAAAAATTTTTAGAGATTGCGCTATCGTGGAATATTTCTTCCAATAAATTGACTTTGCAGCGAAATATATGACATGTTGTCGCATTCTTGCTGCAAAAAAGCCAGTTATCATGTTTCTGTTGCATTCTCAATTGACGTTAACTGCATGAAATGATTTTTTCAGCCCACAACCTACATCCAAAAGTTATCTTTTTACAGTTGGAACTCATTTACGAACATCACATGTGTTTTATTTACACCAATCCTCCCTGAGTGGATTATATTGTTAAGAAAATACCAAATCCAGTTCGTTCCAATTAATTGATATTCCGAAATAAGAAATTCCCTAGAGAGGGAAAACGCAAGTTCACATACGCGGCGCGTCATGCGTGTTGCCGACCGAGGAAAACGATTAGCGGAAAATCAAGTTAACGGATTAAAAATGTAGTCATGAACTTAGGTTATAGTAATATGTTTGTAAAAATATATATAAATAGACTGCGGAAGGCATGGTCACTCGGACAAGAACAGTTAAATCGAAAAAAAAAACATTAGAGTTGAAAAGTCGAGAGTATTGCCAAACTATAAATAATTGCGAAAATATAAATAATCCTGTCCTTAAACAAATTGATTGTAAATAAGAGAGTCTTGGAGTGAAAACGTGCAAATGTATTTCTCTTAAAAAGATCTAGTGTTGCGAACCGTATCCGGAAAAAAGCGAATTTCATAACAATTTATTATATTCCTCTTTAATTATAGAGTGGGAAAATTAGAGAAAATAGAGTTTTCGAAATTTTAACGACGCAACTGTTCCATTGTCCAGATGAGAAAGCTACTAAAGCAAAGCCTTCCATCGCTTACCGCAAGAACTAATTTTATAGTGGGATTTGCCGGGAACTAATTTTGAACGATGTTTGCACCTGTAAAAACGTTTTGTGAACTTTGGTGAAAAATATAAATGAAAATGTGTCTCGTCTCAGGTATATTTTCAAAACCAGAAAGACTGATGGCCCCAAAAACGGATATTAACCATTGCAAAGGCTTCCTAGCACGAATAACACATTTTTCTAAAAAAACATATGAATTTTTATCGATAGTGAACTAACTCTATGTAGAGGATAATCAATATTCACCTTAAAGCCGAGATAGGTACTTCTTTCACTTTATTCTTTTCCTATAAAAATTATGTATTTTCCAGATATACTCTGATGCTCTTAGGAAAACATATAAATTGTTAAAGTATTGTTCAAATGCCTCTCTAACGTAACTGATTGAAAATACTTGAAAATTTGAAATTCAAGGCAAATAATTAAAATACACAAATTTTTCCGGCTTGTAATCACTTGCAAAGGCAAGAAAGATCTTCAAAGTTAAATAAATTGAAAGACTTGAGAAATGAATAAGATATCTATAGTGTGATGCTCTAGAAAAATTTTGAAAGAATTATTTCACTATATTTTAACAAAAAAAAAAAAAAAAAAAAAAGAAAGAAATAAAATTAAGAAAAAAACACTTGTTTATTATAATTTTCTTGTTGGCCTCCGAAATGTCTGAGTATATAAATTTTGTCATATCGCTTGCATTAAGCTCTAAATAATTACCGGAGATTTCATCAATGGTATCTGCATTATATTTTAATTAACTATAGGCATCCGTCCAAAAAGTTCACCGCTAACGGGCTTAAAAACCGCTAACACACTTGCCTCATCCTTACTAGAACTATATAAATATTCTTGCCTAGTAGTAGTAGTAGTAGTAGTGAAATTCGTTATTCAACTAACATGGTCAGTAATCAAAATTTTTGCTTCAAGGCAAATCCGCAAAAAAGAATGACAAAATCAATTGACCGTTAAATTAATTTATTACGCGGACCTATTGTGCCTATGGTTTTCTAGAAGACTTTTTACACTGAAACGTCCGATGGCGTTGCAACAGATTCTGTTATGGCTTTTATAGGCTCGTCGTGAAACATAGGTACAGGCAATTGGCAATAGCAGTCGAGAATACAAGACCAAAGTATGGGTATGAACATCGGTTAGGGAAAAATTTTTCAAGTCATTGCACGACACCGTGCCCTACTATCAAAGGTCAAGAACTTTATAAATAAAGCATTGAGGCACGAATTTTAATTCGTGCCTCAATAGAATGCATGTCCAAGTCCAAGTAATGAAGGTGAGATTTCAGATAATTTGTACCTCTTACTTCTCTTACATAGTGATTTTTATATTTTTCCCCTCCTATAGTTAACCATATATTTCTGCAGATTCAGTTAATATAATGGAATTTTCCTCATGTTCTTTCTTTGATAAAAACGAGCGATTTAGTTTGTAATGAAATTATCCGAATTGTTTAACATATCGGAGCCTACAAGAATTCCAGACCATAGTGAGTAAGCGATCTGTTTTGGAAATGTTGCAATAACGATCAAGCATTTGACAACAGATTTGATGTTGGTACACTATAATACTACTAAGAACGCTAAAGGCTCTAAAACTTAAGGTGCTGGCATACGGGACAACGCATGGTTAAGATTTTTGCTTGAAAATTTGGCAGTAATTCAAGATCAGGTAGGACTTTGTCGAATCGAGGAAAAGACTGTACACCCCCGCATGCTCTCGTCTTTCCGCCCATTTTAAAGCAGGCCGATACAAACTTATTAGAAGAGTTAAAACTGCCTTCTCATCATTTCCATGTAGATGAGGTTTTTTTCATACCCTAACACATATACGCGACACCCAGAAGGACTTGAGATAATATTAAGTTTTATTATACCGATCGATTCAGAATCGCTTTTTGCATTGATCTAAGCTTGCCTGTCCGTCTGTCCATCTGCGCATCTTGTATTTTTACGTTCAACTTAGAATTCTTGAGATATCTTGATGAAGTTTGGTACGCTTTTGAAAATGTTTCAGATCGGATCACTTTTTCGAACATTCTAAATAAAAGATTTACATGAATGACTGTATTAAACAAAGTGATGTGGGATATTTAATGGGGGGCCGTGTACTACTACAGTGCTTTCACTTGTTTTATTGATATTCTTGCATAATCATAAAGTCTTTTAGACCAATTTTCACTGCTTTCACTCGAGTGCCGTTAAAGTAAGTTTCTAATCGTTGACAATCCTTCGATATGACAGTCTACGTTATAATAAAAGATTACCTTATGAAAGAGATTCTTTCAGACTAACTAAAATGATCATCAGAACTCATAGGATGCATTCGCAAAATTCCGCCTTTTAGGAATTTTCTGAAGCATATCGTACGTGAAGTAAAACCCGCAAACTTTCCCATGTGCGCTCACCTATCTTAGAAACATCTAACGCAATTCTCGTAAATATGGATTTAAATCAAAAGGACTTTATAGTGTCAACACTGTGTCAGATCAACGAACTAGATCGATACAATTTTTGGTAACGAAATTTTTCTTTAATACGTCCCGTATGCGTATGCATAGACTCGTACATATGCGTTTATTTATTTATTTATTTTCTTTCTTTTTCTCTTGATTAAACTCAAGTGAAATTTATATTCCTGACGTGGTGTCCGTCCATTGACTTCAGAAATATTATTAAAAAGGCACTTACTTACACTATCCATCCAACCGCATAAAATAATTATGGATGACATTTGTTGTTGGATTTTTTTTTTTTTTTTCATAATATTTAAACGCGAAGAAAACAATGCTTAGCTTTCATTGCTTGCAAATAATTTTTTTGTTATTTTAGAAAAATTTTTTTTTAAAAATTTGAAACAATTTTCTAAAAATACTTAACATTGAAATCAGCGGAAAGCGCATAGTTGTAGCGAATTTTCGTTCGCATATATTACCGGACTTTACAATCGACTTTTGGTGCACATATATTAGCAGATCTTGCGAAAAGAATGACAAAACTGGTAAGAGCCCCTTCCCCTTTTTGGTGAGTGCAAGAATTAAGGCTGCGGTTCGAAGACAACTTTGTCGCTTAGGCAAAATATTTTATACTACTTCCTGCTTTCCCGAAAGACACCTTCTTCAGTATCAATGTTTTTGCCCATTAAACATTTAGAAATTTAAAAAAAAAAAACAAAATATATATGTATATTCATATTCATATTTATATATTCATACATTTATTTATGATATTCACGATCCGCATGACCAGAAACGCATGTATATTATGTATAAGTATCCATCACAGTGGATAAACAATTGACTACGTCTATAATACAGTTTGTTTATTACTAGAAATGATTTCAGTTATGCATATTTGTTGCTTAAATTTTCTGTGACATAAATTTCTTGACCCCAAAGTATAAATGATTTTTATACTCAACTTTGAAATGCTCGCGATACAATAACTTTCTTATGGCATTTGCAACAGTCCTGACAGCATAAAATAGATCAAATTTTCTCGGAATCGAATTCACTATGTTTGCTCAAAACTACTACAAATACAAGGGCATTTTAAAATTGAATGCAACAACAATTACAAAGACGTGTTATACAAAAATGAACTTCAAGTACATTTGAGACTGAAAAGATTTTTAAGAATATTCACAATATACGCTTCCAGTCAAAGGTCAAATTTCCTTAAAAAAAAAAAAAAAAAAAATGCAAATACATTAAAAACTTGCATGGGACAGAGGCA